CGAGCTCTTCCAGGTGCTGAAGATGATGGTGGGCAACAACTTGAAGGACACGCAGCTCCAGCAGATCGTGGACAAGACCATTATAAACGCAGACAAGGATGGAGACGGCAGGATATCCTTCGAAGAGTTCTGTGCAGTAAGTGGAAGCGCTCCTGAGGGGTTTTCAGAGGGGAGCGTTGACGTTTCTGCTGATCCTGCCGATTTGCGGAGGCGGCAATAGGTCAAAGGGGAAAGAAATCTGTGGAAAGACTGCTGGGTTTTATTTTTTGTTGTTGTTTTGCTGGGACTCAACAGCTCTGGGTTTCAGCGAGCGAGCATTGCTCATGTCGGAGGAGCTGCTGTGGTGAGACTGGAGAGATGCTGTTTAAAACCGGAGACTTCTTCTGTCATTCTGCTTTATAATCCGGCCTTTTGGAAATTAAAACTCTACTATCCAATTTCAGATCAAAGGGGCAAAGACAGCTGTCTGAACGCGGTGGGTGTTCTCGTTTTTTGAAAAGCCACATCCACCGGCTCGTCTCTCGGCAGCCCCCAGAGGGAACCGGTTTCGCTCCCAGCCAGGTTCTGAAATTAAAGGCTCCATATCTGGCTCTGACAGACTCAGGGTCCGTATTTGACAGCTAGATCCCCAGAGCCTTGAACTAAAACGGCTCGTCGTCCTTTTCAGGGTGTATTTTCGGAACAGTGCAGGAGAAGAAGTGCAGCTCAAACATTTCACACTTCAAAGAGTTTATCTCTGTTTTGGTCTGAGCAGTTCTATTAGGGAATCTGTTTAAAAAATACAGATAAAGATTGAGTTTGAAGGGTGTTGGTAATAAAACAAGGTTTTAGTATTTACAACCTGGATGTGGGAATGGTGGGCTTGTGTTGCTTTGTATTTAGGACCTTTTACATTTGGGTTTTCATACCCTCGCTTATCAGTTTTTGATTTGTGCGTTGTTAATAGACATGCACACACATAAAAGCAGAACTTCTCTTCTTCATTGTGGCCGTGTATATCCTTTAACGTTAACTGCCTAAAGCTTTATAACCTGTTTTCAGTTTATATCGCTAACAAACCAACACAATAAATGTCGTGCTAATAAAGCTGATGTTCAGACTAGAATGATCCAGTCCAAATTTATTCAATTTAATCCAAATCTGTCCAGCTACACCACTGTTGAATTGTAAGCTATCTTAAGCACGGTTGACTCATGATTTTCTAGTCAAATATTTATAATGTCCTTTAAAATGAGTGGTTGTTCTTTTAGCCGATAGCCAGAGGTGACGATTCTCATCAAAAAGCAGCAAATGCATCTCCGACTTTTTGTCTTTTTTCTTTTTTTTTTTCCACATGTGATTTTACTCACATTTCAATTTCTGCAACACTTTTCAATTTGACCTGGTAGTGCTGTGATTTAAACTTTGATTTGTTCAAAGTTTTTTAGTCCAATCTGAACTTTGTGTGTAGATTTGTACCTTTCTGGTGTATTCACCCAAAACGTTCATCGTCTGTTTGAAGCTGCTTGGTGTTGAGAATCAGCTGCTAACCTTGAAATGAGAATGTTACGGTTGACTAAAACCACTTCCTACTTTTTATCTATTCAGTGTCAAACAATAGAGCAACAATTATTCTTACTCAAGCGAGTAGAGCTGTTAAAATGCTAGACATACTATATGGTTCTTTACTTAACATGAACTTGCACAAACATTTAAATTAAACACTCAAATTTTTCAAAGCAAATAGATTTGTAGTGGTTAATTTCTGTAGTGCACCGACAACATTATTGCTTGTTGCTTCTTAGATTAACCCTGAAAGTACAGCAAGCTGATATCTTATTTAGTTGACCTATTTAGCCAGCTGCTTGACGGATAAGGCACTTTCTAAACTGTCTTTAAAAAGTTGAGTTAAACTTAATAATTCTCATTTTAGGCCTTAAAGTCCTGCATAGGTCTAGATCTTCCATACAAGATCTTAATTTGAGACACTTTGTGCGACAGCCAGCCCAATAAAGTCAATAAAGTTCCACAGTCTTGATGTAAAATGAAAGGATTTGCATGCCGAAGCTAGAAAGAAATCCCCAACTTAAGCTGATAAATATTTCACTTAAATATTTAATCAGAAGAAATTAAAGTTGGATGGGAAAGCTCTCAAAAGTCGTAAACATTTTAGAAACTAACCGTGCGGCCTTTTTAACAATGATGCCTGGTGTCCTCACATCCATAAAAAGTCTTAAGTTTATGTGAAATTAAGGCCTCAAAATCTCTTAAATTAATAAAAAAAAAAAAAAAAGTAAGTTGTCCTTAAATATGTTAACCACAAAATTAAATTGCGTACATTCTACGTATTGTGGGACTTTTTGGTAAAAGTTTGAGTCACACAAGTCTTTATTGAGTTCTGTGGCTCAAGACAGTGGAGTTGCCAACATACAGCGAGTTACCAAACTTTTTTGGAGTTCATCATGGGTGAGTGCAAATTTATCGTCCGATGGCTGGACGGTTTCTGTAGAGATATAGGTCTTAAATTTCATTCATAATGGTCCTAAAAAGTCTGAAATTTGAGTTGGTGAAACCTGCAGAAACCCCGCTTTTACTTTCACACTCTTCTATTACATCTCACTAAAATAAACTTTTAAGTAGCAGGCAACATTTTTGTGGCTTTGACCTCAAAACGTATTAAAACCTTCATACAGCGGTGCCCAACTCACGCCGGTATGTTTTATAAATATGAGCACATTTCTCTGTTTGGTCTTCAAACTGTTTGGATTTTATGACTTATCCGTGAGTAAAAACTCCCAACCCAGAGACGTCTGTGTTCAAATGTTTGTCGTCTCACCTCGGTTTCGTCTCTTCCTCCTTTCCTTCAACCCCAGGTGGTCGGCGGCCTCGATATACACAAAAAGATGGTGGTGGACGTGTGAGCGCCCTCCGCTCGCTGAATCCCCCTCCTTCGCCCTCAACACTCGCTTTTCTCCACCATCTCCGAAGATCTGCTCAAAGACGTCTGGCAAAACGCTCTCTGTGTAACTCAATGGAAGTATTCTCTCTCTTTATGTCTATCTCTCTGTGAAGCCGCTTTTTTCTTTTCTCTCTTCTTTTTTTTTTTTCTTTTTTGCTTTTGAAAAACCACGGGCCTCGTGAAGCCAACTTTGAAGTGTTATTGAACTGCAAATCCGCAATAACCCGGTCGTAGCACTTTAAGAGACTGAAGAACATCCATTTGGTCATTTGCAAAGAGCATCTCTGGTTGTGGAAGAAAAAAAAGGAGGGAAAGGGGGATAGAGGAGGGGTGCAGTGGAGAGGCTGGTTGGCTTGTTCATATTTCATCCTTTTTTTTTGGGGGTAATTGTCATTTTTGATATTTATTTTTGGTGTCTTTTATAAAGAAAAAATACAACGATATATCTGCATTTATTTTTCTTTTTTTTGTTGTTGTTTTTTTGTTTTTTGAGAGGACATGTGTAGTGTATTTACACTTGCAGCAGTACAGCTAGAAAGTAGGGTATGAAGTGCCAACCAGAACATATCCAGAACCAGTTCGTTATTGACTATCATCACTGCATTCATTCACGCAGAGGGGAAAACCGGACGCTTCCAACTGCACGACTGCGACGCATCGTAAATACAAAACAAAATTTCACAACTTTTTTTTGCTCCCGCGCTCAGTTTGAACCGACCAGTAAAAGCTTCCAATCTTGGCGACGCTTCTCATCGTCTTTTTTTTTTTTTTTCTTCTAATAAGATTGCTAGTTTTATTTATACGTAAGAATGTGTTTATATTGTCGGACATCATCCCTGTTTCCTATCATGAGATTTTAGCTAGGTTCAATTAATGCCAAGAAAATGTCTTTCCAGATAAAGAAAAAGGACAAAAAAAACAAACAAACAAAAAAAAAAAAGACTTAAACCAGTCATAGCTGCAAGCTGATAACGTGGTTTACTCGTGAAGAAAGCATTGCGCATCCATAATGACAATCTCCAATGCAAAGAATAGTTAAGCACTCGCTATTGAACTGTAGTGGAAATCATGCTTTTTCCGTGACGCTAGCAGACCATGCCGGATGACGTTTTGGCGAAGAACCGAGAGAGAACAGTTGAGATTTTTAGACTGTTTGGACGAGGATAAAACAACTTAAGAGACTTACCTGCAGGCAGCAGTTGTCGTTTGTTGTTTTTCTTTTCTTTTTTTCTTTTTTTTTTAAGGAAAAAAAAAAACGATATGTGTATATTAGGTAAACAATGTGTGATCATCTTATCGAACGGCAGAAAGAGGAGGAAGGCTTTGCCTCTGAAATGTCTCAGTGCAGCACAGGACGGGTCAGTTTCCTTCAACGCAAAAACACTTAAACTTAACATGTTAGCATGATCGGTGTGCAATGGCGCTAGACTAGTTTTTAGGATTTTCTGTTTTTATCTGGAGTGTGTACATTTCAAAAGTTGGCTTCCACTCCCACTTTTTTTTTAAATTATTATTATTTTCTCTCACAATCATGTTGTTTTTCTCTCCCCCCAATCCTTCTTTTTTCCAAACCTGCTGATTCAAGCAGAAATAGGAAACAACAAAAACACAGAAAAAAAAACAAAACCTTAAATTCAACCAAATTTTTTTTGATTTTTTATTTCCAAGGGGAAAATGCTTCCTACTAGTAACAGCATTGGGATAGATGTCCGTTTTGCTTTGGAGGCCAACTGCTAGTTTTAACAGGACATCTCAGTCAGATCTGGAGTGCTCTATTGTTCCCCATCCCTGAGCTCTGCACGGCTTTGGGCCTCCCTGTGCTTGCATGACATGGAAGTATATATATATATATTTTTTGTGCATGTAGATCAATTTTTTTGAAATAAAACTCTTGTTTACACATGGATGGTGATGTTAATATATTTAAGAATTTTACGGTATACAATATGGATGTTGCCAAACTTTGGTAAATGTACACATATTATGAGCGGTAATCCAAATGAACTGAACTACATGTAACTTTTTTGTATTTTACCCGGGTCAGCAAGATGCTTCGATTCCAGTAAAAGTTGCATATCTGATCCTGTCTCAAACTGCCACACACTGTACTCAGCTTAAAGGGGAAATTTGATTTAATTTTTTTTTTTTCCTTTTGTATATAAGTATTTGTTAAATGCAGTTCTGGCTCTCTGTTCTCTGTATAGTTCAGACCGCGCTTTAGTTTGTAAGTGCTACTTTTTTCTCTGAGGGAATTGGGTTCTTTTTAGTTTGCGTGGGAATATCTGAAAAGATTTAAGTTTGAGAACCTTTTTTTTTTTGTTTGTTTTTCCTTTTTCTGCATGCTGCATATTATGCTGTGGGACTGTTGGAAACTTGATACTGTATGAAAATGAAATAAAATTTAAATAAACTTTGAAATGTTGAAAGTAACATGTTTTCCTCACATCTTTCTGACTTCTAAAGAAAGATTTAGTTGAAATATTCTTGTTGGGTTTTTTTTTTTTGTTTGTTTTTTGGTCTTTGTTTCTTTGCTGGCAAGTAAGTCATTTATGGTGCAAGTTGGACTCTACCAACGCTGCCCTCTCCTCAGACTCTAACTTTTACAGACCGTTTCAGGACAGGATCTGTGCTCTTTCCAGGTGATAAAGATCCAAAATATATGTAATTATTTGAGCCTTGTGCGGATTTTAATTGCATACATTTATTAAACAAGAAGCGTTTGAATAAAAAATAAAGCCTAAAATGAATTGCATTCTCAATGTCCACACTAGAACGGTAAACAAGGAAAATAAAGGTTAAATGTCAGTTGTTAGGCTGACATTCTGCTGTAGGTGGATAACCCACATGTTGTCCTGTCGTGATTTGTCTGCACCACTGACAGATGATGCTGCAAGCGTCACTATTCAGTCTATCCAAAAATATGACATCAAGTTTTAGAAATCACAAATTCTGATTTACAGCATTCTCAGCTTTTAAACATGCAAAACTTGGAACTTTGGCAAGTTCCAAAGTTAAAAAGTTTTATTGCATTGTGTTTAAGTCAAAGTGTCCAATTAATGTTTCACTATTTGGACAACATCATGATTCTATAGTCTACAGAACTTTCTAAAGAAGTTTCATAAAAGTGAGCTGCTTTCATATCTTATTTTTAAAAGATAAAAAAATTAAATGGGTTGTCTTACTTCGAGTAAATGGTTCCTATCCCAACTATGGCTGTCAAATATTTCCCTAAACCTAATCATTTATAAAATCCTCAGCCTCAAAACTGCTTATCTGCTAAAAATATTCAGACAGAAATAAACCTCCTTTATTGTTTTTTTTTATATTTATTTACATAACTTATACTTCCAGAGACCAACACTGTTCGTCAAAAATTATGACGTACGTGTCGGCTTCCCATCCCGAAGGCCAGTCCGTGAACTCAACTCATCGCAGTTACAGAAAGAGAGGAGAGGAAGCCGCGTAGCAGCCAATCAGAATCTCTCCGCAGTCCTGCTGGCCACCGCTCTGATGTTACCGTAAACCTTTGAAGGTGGACTCCCTGTTGAGAGGTGGGGGTTTTAAAGGTCATTTCCAGCTTTTAGAGTTTTGATCTAAATGTTAAATGATCGGCTGCTTACCTAAAATCAGGTTACATATTGCTGTTCGGGCCATCTTGATATTCTGAAAAGAACCTAAAATGTGGATTTTCCTGTTGAGACACACAGAAAAACTCTAAATACACACACATTGGGGAGAGGGGGAATTTTAAAAAAAATCACAAAGCTTTAACTGTGATGGGCGAATCACAACTTGGATCACATACGTCTCTGCCAGAACGATGCGAGTCTTTGTCACGTTCTCAATGGTGAATTTCGTTTTTCCTCCCTTGCCTGCTATTCTCCCGATGGCCCTGGATAAGTGGTCGCCTTTCAAAGGTTTTACTGCCAAAAGAACAACAACAAAAACGTTAATCTGTTGCAAAGGAAAAGGAGAGCAAACAAGTGCAGAGTAGGAGAGCAGACAGACGGCCTTGGGTTTCACAATCTCACCGTCTGTGACATCAAAGCTTTCAAGGAAAAGCTCGTCTAATCTGATGAGTGCCATGGCATCCTGGAAGAGGAAGGGCAACTGTTACATCACTGGCAGAAATCCAGCGGGTTCAACGTCAACGACTCCAGGGGGCCCTACAAACTTGAAATCACAACCTTCAACGGTTTCGATTTCCAAAACGGGACGATTGTCGACTAAACTCCAGCTGATCAATACTGAGGTAGTTTGTCGCGTAGCATTTCTTGCACTGGCTGCAGACTTTAAATGAAAGCACCTGTGCACTCACCTCAACCTGGAAGCCGAGGATGAACGCTTTGACGAAATCCGCCGCTTTCGTGAGGGCGCTGATTTCCTGCGTCTCTTTGCACGTCTGCAAAAATAAAACGCACAAAAACAGACAAGGCTGGAAGCGCTACGACTAAAAAAGAAAACAAAACGAAAACTTTAAGAATAGTCACGTTACTTCAGATCAGTGCTGCCACCATGTCTGGACTTACTTTGATTTCTACGTTCCTGCTCTTGAGGTTAAAACGCACTTGAAGCTGCAGGTTCTCTACGATGGGAGTGAAGATCTTGAGCCAGTTCTCCTTCAGCGGCGTGTATCTGTGAGCTGGAACGGGGATCTTACGCATCTCATCTGGTCCCTGGATCACAGGGAGCAGATAACGTTACATCCAAATAAGGTCACCTTAAAAATATAAGTAGGAATCTGTGCTGAATCTATCACTCATGAACTCGCTAACATAATCGTTCTAATCTCAGGACGCAAACAGATTTATGGATTTTTTATTCAAACATTTGCCATAGGTAGTTTTGTTTACATATACTGTCAAAGTAGTTGAACTTAAAAGACACAAAATGGCTAAATTATGCTTGTTTACCTGGCTGAAAGAGAATAATATCCAATATGTTGGAGAAAAAAAAAGATTAAATGATCAAAAATATTAACGAGATAATAGTAAATCACAAAAAAGCATGTCAGCAACGGCAGAATGGAAGACACCATAAAATAACTCAGTAGTGTTAGGAATCACTCATCAGAATGGTGAATAAAATCCTGCAATAAAAACAACTAGCATAACTACATTATGTTTACATAGCTGTATGGTAACACCATTACCATGCATATTTAAATATAGTTTAATTGTTTTGTTTATTTGTCGCCCGGTTCGTTTTGCTGTTGACGCATCATTTTCATTTGCTTGTTGTAATTATTTCATTGTTTTAATGTGTCGGTTCTGTTCGAGACGTCATCACGTCATTAGCGGCGGATACGCCGTTTGCAGTTTCTCCAAATAGGTCTGAAGAACGATGTGCGCATGCGCACGCTTTAAAGGGAACGCACACAAACCAACTTGTTAAAAGTACTAAAAACACAACAGTGCCTAAAATGTTTTTTTTTTTTTTTTTTTAATTGACATACATGTGACGGACGCAAATGGAGGTAATTACCCGTAATTTGTCTCCGGAAATCGGTGGAAACTGCGGCCGTTTAATGGCCACGCTCTCCTCTGTGTCCATGTCCACTCCGTCTTGCTCAAGTTTACGTTTCTGGGTCTTCTTTTTAGACTTCACCTTCGTAAACGCCTCTGCTCCATCTTTACTCTCCCCGGTCACTTCAGCGTCTACAGCAGGAGCTTTTTCGGCGTCCATTTCCACAGAAGGTATTGTAAAATCCTGCTTTGCGCAGAGAACCGAAGCAGGCTTGTGGCCACAGAGGCATGAGGTGCGATGGAAAGGACCCAAACAGCCGCGTCATCAGCGCCGGTGGAGTAAAGAAATCCTTGAACATGTTTATGATTTAAAATACAACTCAGAACACGTCTCTATAATCCAGTCTCGTTCATCAATGTCTATTGATTGAATTATGTATGCCCGAAAGCAGACGATATTAACTGAACATAAAAATATACAGTCAGGCATATCTGAAGACAGCAACGAACTCTGTGGGAGGATCCTCGCTTTATTTTGTTTTGGCGTGGAGATATCCGTTTTCCAACAGATTCTCGGCCCTTGTAGGAAGTATTTCAGAAGATGTCCTCGCCCCTATCAAAGCCTCAGATTATCGCACACATTCAGAAGAGTCTGAACTACACGGTGTTCGACAGCAAATGGATTCCGTGCAGCGCCAAGTTCGTCTGCTTGGGGAACTTTGCCAGAGGGACGGGGGTGCTCCAAATTTATGAAGTTCAACACGGCGAGGCTCTGCTCATAAAAGAGGTCGGGTCATCACTTGTGTTGGGCCTTTTAGGGGTTTTAAAGTCATTTAAAGTGAACGGGCTATCCAAGAGATCCCAAGCGAGGATTCTGGAACTTTCTTCCAGCTCGCTTGTAACCATGGTTACAGTTAGCAGACAGGTGGACAGTTACCTGCAGAAACCAGATGACACAGTGTGGCTGCTGTGTGCTGCAAAAAGGAGATAATAATAACAACCCAGTTACGTAATTAATTATCTTTGCTTGTTAACGTGTACATAATAAAGTGTGAGGTGAATTTATAGTGTGATGCTGAACTATTCCTCTGCCTTGAATGTTTTACTCACATTTTGTCGTGTCAGCAAACTTCCTTGTGTTTTATTGGGATTCTTAGCCTACTATGTCTGGTACTATGTTTGTTGATTAGAAAGCGAACGCCACCTCCAGCAGTTTTCCCTGAATTGTACCTGCCCAGGACAATATTCCCAAAGCATGATGCTTCCACCGCCATGCATTAGAATGGGGATGGTGGTCACCACGCGTAGCGCTTCTAATTTGGGTCGAAAAGTTTGGCCAGATCACCAGCTGTCTTCGGCATGTTTTCTATGCCCCTCCTGGCCTCAAACAATAAAAATAATCATTTTAAAAAATGCTTGAGGTGAATGAATATTTTTCCAAGGCGCCGTACATTTGATTTGAATCTATTTGTCCCTTTGTTGGAGCTGAAGCATCTCTTTACGCCCCCATGTTTCAGGTGGAGAAAGCTAAATCCATAAAGTGTGGGACGTTTGGGGCCTCCTCTCTTCAACAAAGACACATAGCAACCGGAGACTTTGATGGAAATCTCCACATATGGTACTTCAATTGTCTGTTTACGCTAAACTGTAGCTTTACTTACAATTGTAACCTTTTTGTTTGATTGTAAAGCTCAGTGTGATTATTCCCCTTTAATTTGAAGATTTTCAAACTAAAGTTTCTTTTGTTGTTGACGGGAAAGATGAGCAGCAGAAGTAACAGTGTCAGCGTACGCAGGCTACTTTGTCTCTCTCACCCACAGGAATCTGGAAGCGCCCGACGTGCCGGTGTACACCACAAAGGCCCACAAAGAGATCGTGAACAGCATCGACGGGGTCGGTGGCCTTGGGATTGGCGACGGTGCTCCTGAGATCGTCACGGGAAGTAGAGACGGTGAGAAGGGAAAAGCTCGGTGCTGTTCTTATCATACAAAAGGTTTTGATTGCACAGAAAAGGAGAGAATTACAAAACGTGGCTGGGTTTTGCAGGGACGGTGAAGGTGTGGGATCCCAGGCAGAAGGATTTACCTGTGGCCAACATGGAGCCTGTGGAAGGAGAGACCAAGAGAGACTGCTGGACTGTTGCCTTCGGTAACTAAAGTATCACATGGAGTCAAAATCCAAATATCATTTGTAAGATTTTCAATTTGTCTTTTCTGGGCCTTTTCTGAAAAGAAAAGCATCAAAACGACAAGACTTTGAAAAAGTATTCATCTCGTCATGCTATAGCCCTACACTTCAATATATTTTATAGGGAATTTACATGGGAACCAAAGTAGACTAGTGCATAGTTGTGAAGTGGAAGGAAAATTTAAAATAGTGTCTTGCTTGTTTTTAAAAAAAATAGCAATCAAAAAGCTGTGGCAAGTATCCTTATTTACTCTGACGCACTAAAGAAAAACGTAGTCCAACCAAGTGCAATCAGAAATCACAGACACTTTTCAGATTCATAACAAAATCCTACTTTGTGTTGCTTCATTTCATATAAATGTTTGTGGTTGTAATTTCACAAAACAACTTCAAGACATTATGAGTGCTTTTGAAACCCAGTGCTTAATTTAATAGTTTTTATAAAACAATTAAATGTACCTAATAGTTTGATTTGTGCAAAAACATGGAAAAGTCTAATTTTACCACCATTTTCTGTCTTTTATGTGTTTTTTTTACATAAAAAAACCTCTTGAAATAAAGCAGCGGATAAAATATCAATAACGTATAAAACCATGTTGGATCTTTATCTTAATTTTCAACAATCTTCTGGAAATCTTAGGCATATCTAGTGTAGGGGTGCACGATATGGACTTAAAGTTTGGTGACGATATTTTGCGATGGTATTGTAATAATGATAAAAGCTAGTTATTACATCTTTTTTTAGGTAACCGTATAGCTGGACCTGTGTGTTGCAGTAATTATAGCCCCACAAAACAAAAATACAGCTCTTGGAAATATATTCCCGTTTGTAACACGCCTCTTCAGGACACCAGTGACATAAAGAAGTGTAATTTGTGTAACTATACTGCAAATCGTAACTGCCTTTCATCACATGTTTCAAATTTATTGATGCGTTCACTGAACAAGAAGTGGGGAAAACGTTACACCCACCCCTGCACACCCATGATCTAGAATAACTTTCTTCAGGTCACGCCTTCAACGATCAGGACCGATGTGTGTGTGCCGGCTACGACAACGGCGACATCAAACTCTTCGACTTGCGGAACATGTCTCTCCGATGGGAAACCAACATTAAAAACGGGGTGAGGTGAAAACACGTGTCCAAATCCCTTATGAGGAATTATGGTGGATAGATTTAAAAAAAAAAAAATTTAAGCCCCAACTTAAAAAAAAACAACAAAAAGCTTGGACGACAGGCTGAACGCTCCTATCAGGAGTGATGATGAATATAAATTGACTGTGCTGCTTCGATCATTCACTTCCTCTTGAATCCAGACGCGCCGACGATTGCTCTCTTGGCGTGGAGCCTGCTACATTTTTCTCTTTCTTCTCTCCACACTCTGAACAGGTTTGCTGCGTGGAGTTTGACAGGAAGGACATCAACATGAACAAACTGGTGGCCACCTCGCTGGAAGGAAAATTCCACGTCTTTGACATGAGGACTCAGCACCCCGCCAAGGGCTTCGCGTCCGTTTCCGAAAAGGTGATTATAGAGGGCGGAGGGACGATAAAATGTCCCCGTAATTGTCATTATGAACAGTAATATTGTTGTTTTAAGACTATTTTCAAGTAACACGCTGATAATGAAATGACAACGCGAGTTCACCCTCTCAAAACAGAATGGAAATGATTGAGCTCATTTTAATTTTTCATGCGACTAATTAATGAGTTGCTCACTGCGACAGGCCAAAAAATAGACAGAAATTAGAAAGTTTAGTCATGATATATTTTTTTAAAAAGTCCAGAGATGTTTCCAGTTCAACACATCTTATGGGTGATGTCATTTTAAACTGTTTCATTCATTGTGATAAAACACCACCACGATCACTGTGTTCAGAGATTCTCAGCAATTTATTTTTTAAGCTTTTTCTTTTTTTTTTCCTTCTAATAAAATAATCAACGTTTCTTTCTTTTTTCCCCTTCAGGCTCACAAAGCAACCATCTGGCAGGTGAGGCATTTGCCCCAGAACAGAGACATCTTTATGACTGCAGGGGGAGCAGGAAACCTACATCTGTGGAAGTAGTGAGTAATGAATCGCTTTGAGCTACAGCACCTTTTTTTTTTTTTTTTTTTTTACTTTTTCTGTTCTAAAAAATGTAACAGGTCTGAGCAAAAGTGGTCACAACCTGTTAACTTTTTCACATCAGAGCAACGAGCTTCAATGTACTTATGTGTTACATTAACACTGAATGTTGTGAACCAGAGTGAAAAAGATGCATCGTTTCATTTTTATTTTTATTTTTTTAGAATTTGAAAAGTGCGGCATACATAGATCTTCCACTTAGGGTATTTTTTTTCTTCCAAAATCTGGATTTATTTGTTTTTTTCTTTTTTCCCCGACCAATGCACTCCTTTTGTTTCCATGGTGATGATGTCATCAAGCCCAGAACCGCCATCTTGTTTGTGCTTTTCACAGCTTCTGAACTTTGAATTCAGGTCAACTTTACGACGGAGTTATCAGGGTCAGGCTACTTTTTTTTTTTTTTTTCAAATTATGGGAATAAAGCAATAATGTTAGGAGAATAAAGTAATACATTTCTAAGAACTCCCAACACTTAAAACGAGGAATGGCCAACATCTTCTAAAGTTCCACTTTGGTATCGGTTTTACAAATAGGATATTCTTTTCTTTTATTGTCAGTAGCAGGAGTTTAAAATTATTGTTTATTTCGTAAAACAAATTCAAATGCCCTTCTGGTAAAAGTGTGTCTTTATTCTGTTAACATTTTGTCTACATCCTTGTAATTAAACAAAAGTTCTTGTAGCCTCGGTGGCCCTGACACTCCGTCGTAAAGCTCAGAGAAGGTGACGATTGAACTAAAAGCCGCTTTTTGAAAACATTTTCATTCAGAGTTTCTTCTTTAGAGAAGAAAACCAATTGAAATTGGATCGGGTAGGAGAACATTCAAGAGATGGTGCTAAACGCTTTTTCCCTCAAATCCTACCTCCAGCGAGTACCCCGCGCAGAGGAGCAGGAAGGACTCTGACGGAGCGGATGTGGGCGTCGCTGGGTCAGTCAACCTCTTGCAGAACGCCACTCTGTCCACTCAGCCAATCGCCAGCCTGGACTGGAGCCCCGACAAGCAGGGCCTCTGCGTGTGCTCGGGTTTCGACCAGACCGTCCGCGTGCTCATCGTCACCAAACTCAACGTGGCGTAACAGAAGCTGCCGGCAAGACCGAGAAGAAGCGTCCCCCTCCACCTGCCAGTTTTGGGAAACATGCATCTGAATAATTACTTATACAACCTGCATGTCCAGGTGGAGATTTGTTCCCGCTAAAATTCCCGTCTTTCATCCAGATCCGTGTACATTTTGTATTTTGCTAGTTCTGTGTTCTAATATGACTGACTTTTTTTTTTTTTTTTACCAATGAAAACCGTTTCCGGATTAAAAGTGTTCTTTAAGAAAAAGAGAGCTTTACCAACATCCTCTGTGCAATGGTACAAAAAATATGACATCACAGTTAAATAAAAATATTTCTTCATAAACACAAAGAACAAGACAGTCTGAGAGGGAGATCCAGCTGGTCAGATCCAGCATTTGAATCTGAAGAAGTCCTGCAGATCCGGGTCGTCCTCCTGTCGGTTGTTGATTTTTGCGTAGACGCTCTTCAGCAGCGACGTCTTTGACTTTTCGTCCAGGATGTCGATGTACTTCTCTATGACGCCTGCGAACAGAGCCGCAGGTGTTGCTTCAGAAGTGGAGTTTAAAACCTCTCCGAATTTTACTCAGGTTTGATGAGGAAACAAACACGAGCATTGAAAATACGCTGAGGTCAAAATGTTAAAAAAAATAAAATAAAAATCTGCTAGTCTCTGTACATCATCTACAATTTCCTCAGCTTTCTTCCAGGCCTAATGATCAGACCTAGCAGTATTTACTTAGCCCCATGACTTTGCCGTATGCGACGAGGCTGGGGCCCAGCTGCGGGTGGTCGAACAGCTGCTGTGACATCAGCAGGCGGACGATCTCCCCGGTGATGAAGGCGTCGTCGAAGCTCTGCTCGGCCACGTCCCTCAGAGGGAACCCGCAGTACACGTCCAGCGCAGCCTCCGGGTCCGAGGGCTCCACCAGCTTCACCAGCTCGATGTACGCTTCGTGGATCTGTCGTCCAAAATATCAGCTTAGACTGAGAAATAACATTGTGTTAGGGTTGCTGTAATCGTTAGCCTTTGTTTTTTTGTTTAGTTTTAGTTCTCACATTTTGTTACTGCTAGGCTGTGACAAAATGCCAAGCATTTTGTTTCTTTACTCAGTCTTTTTTAGTAAAGAAAAGATTTTTTTTCTTTACTAATAAAACATTCTAAAAACCTTTCAGCTGATCCAAAACATTACAGCAAATTTTCTGATTAGAAATGAAAAACACAGATTAACTTCTACTACTTTAGTTTCCCTTCACTGGTTTCCTGTTAAACAGAATTGAGTATTTTTCTTACATACAAAGTTGTTAATAGTGAAGTTATTGGGCTCCTTTCCTGTGGAACCAGCTCCCACTTATTTTCACCCTGTCTAATTTAAAACTGGGCTTATAATCTTCCTTTTTTGACAAAACCTACAGAGTGGTTTATGTTGTCCTGAATTGACTTTAATTCTGCCTTAGGTATTTTTTGTTTGTTTCCTTCCTTCTTCTCATGTGTTCTTGCTTTATTTCCTTTCCTTTATCCATATTTTCCCACCTTACCTTCCATAAAGTTTTTGACTTTACAGTTCCTGCAGTCACATCTTTCCCACTGCGTAAACATCTGCCGTAAGATCGAAGCAAACTTTAGTTTTCTTTGTTTAAAAATGAATTTAAACGACGCAGAACTCCGTGAGGTTGAGTCGCAGGGGGGCGGGAGGGGAGTCTGAAATTTCTACATCCCACGCGTGCGTGTAGGAACCCTGACGCCGTAGGGCGGGGACGTAATCTTATCTCGAAACCAGCACAAGCCGCACCGCGAAAGTTTCAAGGGAATGCCCGAAACAAACACTTCAGATAACAACTGACCCCCGGCGCCATGGCGATGACCTCTTTGTAGAAGTGCTTCGCCTGATCCTGGGTGTCTGCGGAGCGTGAGAAGGCCCGAGCCAGGCCAAGCCGTGACACATGAGACCTGGGGTTCAATGGGCCCGACGCGCTGGCTGTGTCTTCTGCTGGAGGGACTACACACATAATGACAGAGTCGCAGATTAGGTTTCACTGGGACAAACACATAAAAGTCAAGTATTTTTTTATTTATTTATATATCTAATGACAGCATATAAAACAGTCAAATTGTGTTATAAAAAATATTTGGTTATTCATATTTAAATATATATGTTCTATTTATTTTTTTAAAGGAATAAAACATGTTTCATGCAGTTCTGAGGTCATCACTGTGACTTCACAGCTCTTTCGGGTGGACTCCTCTGTCGTTTCAAGATGATGCCGAGAAGAAGAAGGGCCTTAATTTTGCGTCACGTACCATCTGCAGTCTCAACGGCCTCGGCACCAGAGTCCGGTTCAGGCTTGCTTGCAGGGAGCTTGGCTTTAGTGTCCTCGCTTCCAGGTTTAGCTGCTGTATCGGGTTTAACAGCTGCACCAGGTCTCCCCCTACAGGAGGAAAAGTGCAATGCAAGTCACGAAACAAACCAACCAAAACATTCCTTCGTGAATACTGCATAGAATGATTGTGCAGATTTTTTGTGAAATCAAACTTTGAACTGGTATAACTCTGAACTGCTACATAAATGTACTTTAATTTTGCAGAGTGGTTAGGGTTAGTGATATAACCACACTGAGCCTCTGATATGAGTAAATGTTGTAATTTTTCAAAATTGCACATGGCATAATTATTGGGACCAATCGAAAGACCACGTGACAATTAACTGTAATTTTCTGTTTTTATTGATCTATTTGGACAGACACCACCAGATTTTGATGAAATTATTTTCAACCTCTGCATAAGCAGGGAATCCATTCAGATCAATGTCCATCCATTTATCTTTTTTTTTGTTTGTTTTTTGTTTTCTACGAGTGCAGGATGCCATGCATGCCCAAGACTGGAATAAAAACATCTTCACTATTTATTTTTGCCACTTGTTGCTGCAGTAACCCTATAGCAACATAAACATGAGGTCCTTCTTTTCTGTTTTTAAAAGCAGCTCAGAGAAAGTGTCCAATGTCCCTCGTCGTATTGATTCACCTGGGAAACAGGAAGCCTTAAAATCAAGGAATAAAGATATATATACAACTAATAAAAAGATTCAATTACATATATGTTTCAGGACTTGCTTGATGAGCAAGCAAGTCTTAACTTATGAACAAAAAAAGAACAGAATCTTTTTCCCAAAGAATGAACGCCCTTAACTGAATTTCTCATTTCAAAATTATATGTTACAGGTGTAGGAGAATAAGTTAAACATTCACATTAAGAGGCAGCTAAAAGTGTGGCATGCACAAACCACAAACACCTGCATGCACAAATAAAGTCAGAACCTACTTGGCTGGAGGAATTCTAGCTGGAGGTTGAACCCCCTTCCCTCCTCTGACGGGGAGGGCTGCCGGGGCAAACGGCTGAGATCTGGACACAGGGGCCCGTCCCTGAATCGGACCTCCTCTGGCCAGCTTGGCGTCCTTGATTGGCACGGTCTTGGAAACCGGAGCTTGGTCTGGTTGAGGGCTGGCCTGCGCGGCTGCCTTCTTGTTTTTGTCCTGCAGATGCTGCTGCCACCACTTCTGTTCTGCGCAGAAAGAACATGCACTTTGAGCTACAGCAGCCGGTAAATTTGAGAAGACAAGAACTGAAGGTTAAATGATGATTTATTAAAGTCATCTGTGTCATCAACCAATGTAAGAGTTGGACAAAAACAAATAACTGTAGTTACAGTCGTTTTCACCATACATTGTTATGCATTGCCCATTGCATAAGTACAGCTCTTTTCATTTAGATTTTTCCATAAACACTTCAAATTACTCAAATATACTTCAAACCCAGTTACTAACCAACATGAAGCTAAAACAGCTGCTTTTTGTTCTTGTTTTTCTGTTTTGTTATTAACCTTGTCTGTGTATTTCAGTTAACCTTTTCTTCTGGGACTGTGATCCAGAGCTACGTTCACAAGAAAGTGACCATAAATATTCCTCAAGTCTTAGCGTTGTCAAACACTATCTCCCCGCCTTGCTCCCTGCTGCACTGCAGCTAGCATCGCATGTTGTGAATGCTCAGCCTGGTCAGCATGATCACCGATGATGGCAGATAAACGGTTTTCCTGTAACGGTAAGTTGTTTCTCCACCATGAGCACATTTGGCAGCGTGTACATAAGATTGAATGCCAGCGGTAAGACACTCCTCCTGGCTCTGATTGGTTGTTTTAGGTTGGGAGCAGTCGGTTTCTTCACACAACAGCAGCTCATGAGCTGCTGTTTTCACAGGTTATCTGTCTCATAAACCGTCACAATTTGGTGACAGATTTAACAAATATATCAAAATAAAAGCAGGTTTGTGTGCGTGTGTGTTTATAAAAGTTACATACAGCAGCTTTAATCTGTTGGATCTCAGCTGTGCCGTCTGTGATTTATTTCTCCTAAAGGTGGGAGGTGTGGACTCACTGCCCAGCGGTTCTGGGGGATCTCCACTCTGAGGTTTGCCTTCCAGCTCGATGCTGGCCTGGAAGCTGAGGCGGGCGTCGCTCAGGACCTCATTTGACCTGTCTGAGTTTGGGTTGCTGTCGTACTGAGCCAGCTGGGCCACTCCGAGGTGACACAGAGCTCGGCTGTCCCGCGGAGACGTAACCACCGCCAGCTGGCACGTCTGCGATCGGGTGGGAGGAAACATCACGTCCAAGCCCTGGTGACCATTAACCATCGATACATGAAGAAAATCCTAACGAGTCCTGAACTCTTACTCTCTCTTGCATGTCCAGCAGCTCTTGGCAAGGAGAGATGGTTGTCAGGCGGATGAGAGCGGTGAGGCCCTGGCACCTCTTCGCCACCAGGGCCTGCATGTCGACGGCCGCCTTCGCCTGCTGCTCGCCCTGCTGAATCAGTCTCTGCAGCAGGGCGAAGTGAGCATCCAGCAGCACCCACTCCAGCTGCCTGCTCGCCTCGCTGTGACACACAAACCGACTCACGCTCTGGGCTGCCAGCGCCGCTACGCTGAAGTATTTCGAAACAAGGGCGGAAAAGGCAAAAAAAAAAATTT